CAACCCAAGGCTCCAAACCTTCGGTTCGGGGTTTGCTTTGGCTCAGCTCGTGCATTATTGTCCTGACGCACATGATTAAATTCAAATCTGCTGATATGTTACGAGACGCAATTATTGATAAAGCAACTGGGCTTTTTTTTTTTTTTTTATGGAAAGGCAAAAGTTGCTTGTTGTTAGGAAAGAACAAGAACAATGTTGAGAGAAAGATCCAAATTCCAAAGAAAGGGGGTGCTATTCATGCATCCACCTTAAACATACAAATCTAGGATATTATTTGCTATTCATATTCCATTTCTGAGAAGTCATATCCCTTTTTTGGTACTAGATCGATGTTATATCAGGGATTATTGTTTTAGTTCCACTTTCATATTTTGATTGGTTGAGTTGGTGAAATATTGTGGTAAAAAGATTAAAAAAAAATGTTGAAAAAACGAATTACATGTATGGAACCCAAACCATGGTAGTCAAGATACGATAAATCAAAACAAATTAATTCCTTCTCAACGACATATAAATCCCTTTCGAAAAGAAATTCCGTAATCAATTTGGAATTTTTCTCACAAAAATCAGTATGGCTTTGAATATCATCATTAAAACCATCATCAATCGTATTATTCTCTTTAATCATTGATTCTCATTTAAATCACTTTCCAAACAAATTCATCCCCAATCAATTCCTATTTTTATTTCACCATTAAATTCGTTATCAATTGCAATTTGTTTCCTTCAATTAGTTCTCATTGAATATGCAATTCAAATTTCCAGAAATGTTTTCCTCCTTTTGATCCACTGTCGTATTGGAAGAAAACAAATGCACCGCAAGAACACAGATAAGAACTAGTCCGACGAGCCCGTGGTGATTTCCTTAAACTCCCCATGTAGAGAACGCAAGCCACATGATGAGAACCTAGAAATATGGGTTCTTTACCATTGGAGAAAAGAAGAGAAGAAATATACAGGGTGAGAGAAATAACGAAGGGAAAAGAGAGGAACAGAAATAAAGGAAGGAAGTGCACCGTGCCGACGTTGGCACCGACGCCGGTACCATGCCAGAGGAGGGGGAGAACTCGTTAAGGGAGCAAGTGAACGGGAATAGTAGAAAGAGAGGAAGGATCGGGGAATGAGATACAGAGGGGCACTTTTGTAATTTTATTTTTACTGTCTTAAAGTATACTTGGTATGACGAAAACATAAGGGATAAGAGAGGAAAATTTTGGTCCAATCAAACAGCACTACGAAAATATTTCTTTTCTGGTAGTTTTCCTCAAACTAAATTACTTTTAATTTTATTATTTTTTGGTAAACTTTCTTAATTTTATTCAAATTAATAATAAAGGTGCCACAAAGATGAAACAAGAAGACCTACGACTTGTTTTTAATCTAAAGTCTATTGAAATGCCACATGGATGCTACATGGTTGCATGCCACATTTTACATTTGATTTTCAGATAATATTCAAAATTAAGGGAAATTAATTTTTGGAGGAGAAAGTTGGCCACATCAACATTTAACTTAAGGAAGGGCCAATTTGGTGACGGGAATTAGAGATTAAGGATAATTTTGATAATTTTTAAAGTTTAAAGGATAACGGGATCCGAAACTCAAAGTTAAGAAATAGTAATTTAACTAACTTGATATGGATCAATTTTAAAAAATAAAATGTTATTGGGATAATTATTGTATTTTATTTTTTTATATAATTTAATATATTATTAAAATAATTAATTTTTTAAATTTATATAAAATTTATAATATTAAATATATTTATTTATTTATTTTTTTTTGAACAGTTTTATCATGAAACGAGTTCGAAACCTGCCCAAAGAGAAAAATATGCACTTTTCAATGACTCTAGTCACTTGTTCACACACGGGTAAGTGCATATTTATTTATTTAATAATATGCGGAGAAGAGGAAGAAGACATAAGGGACCGTAAAGGACTGTTCCAATAGCACCACTTTTTTATTTTTTGGTACATATAGCACCACCCTTTTAGAAACGCAGTTTCTTCATAAATCACTCTTGCCGTTGCAAGACCCGAATTTTGCTCCCTTCTCCTTCACGGACTCATTACCGGTTGATCATCGATTAACTTCTTCCGCGCACCCTTCATCTTCCTCTCCCCATCTCGGATCTCATCATTCTCGACCATCACATACTCTTGGCAAGTGTGGAGTGATTGTAATCCTATTTTTTTATGGTTTTAGACTTCTAGGCAATTCGGGGCCGTTCTCCAAGTGGTGGAGCTACAGCCATTTGCAGGTCCGGGAAGCCATTGCCACTTGTACATAGGCCAAATTGGTTACCCATGAGAATTATCTCTTGTCTAATTGACTGATTATCGTCTTTGGGTACGGTTTCTCTTCTCTTATCTTCTGCGATTGGCCCTCATCTTGTTCTCTGGTGTTCCTTCCTCTCTGGTTCTCCAACAACAATCCCTGTTGTCCTTGTCCCTGCTGCCTGACTTCTCCAGTGAGTTCCTCTGATATTGCTTCCTTCTAATTTGCATATCATGTTCTTTTTATTCTTCTATTCAGTTTCCTGCAAAGAAGTGGGCTTTGTTTGAGGTAGAGAGTATCCGCTTTACCTAAAAAAATAAAATAAAATAAAAATCAGCTTAATGCATACTTTAAAAATCAGTAATTTAATCTATTTCAATAAATGATATGATAATTTTGAGATAATTTTTATTTTAATTTTTAGGAGGAAGGCCGAAAAGTACTATTTTTTATATATTTTTTGATAAAATGTAAAATCTTTATTTATTCAGTAACTGTAATATACATGAGCAGGCTATAAAAACCTCAGCAAAACTCTACCGTATTCAATTCACTCTACTGTACTCAATTATTTACAACAGCCTCAATCCCCCATCTTTTTACAATATCCATGGACAAAGGGGAAGTTTTATGCTTAGCAAAGCCTAAAATTTTATTCCTGACGTCAAACTGAATATCCGGAACAATTATTTCCATTGACTGGAAGCTTTGTTGATGAACTCGCCTATTCCTTTCTCTCCAAATGTGGGAAATTGCTGCAGTCCATGCCAACTTAATGAGAACATTGTACAATGACTTCCTTCTAACTTTCTTCCCCATCCATGCTAATAATTTTTGCCAACGCATCAGTGAAAGGAATTCCTGCCATTTCACATAATTTGTGCCAAACTTGCTTTGTGTAGCTGCACTTAAAAAAGAGGTGTACACTTGTTTCTACCTCAGAATTGCAAAATAGACATGCATCATTTATGTTGGCCACCCGTTTCTTTCGCCTGGCTCTTGTAGTCTACCTGTCACGTATTGCCAACCAACTAATGAAGCTGTGTTTAAGGATTGATTGTAAGAACCAAACCAGTCTATGCTCTGGGACTTTGTTCTGTCTTTCCCTTAGCCAATGCCATGTACTTCCTGTATTGAAAGTGTCTGATCTAGATGGTAACCAGATTAGAGAATCCTTTACCCCTTCCTTTGGGTAGAGCTTATCAAAAAGAGCCATTTGAATCTGAACAAGCTGCTGGGATCGAGCTAAAGGCCAATTCCAGTAGTTTCCTTGCACAACAGCTGATACCTTTGCATTGTATGGCGGTTATATTTGATTCTTCATATTCAGTTCCTTGTAATTTGATAACAAGTTAATCCCTTTATTTCGAGTGAATATTATTTTGACTGTTGCATATTATTTGACATTTTATTCTCAATATTCAATTCCCTGCAAACAAGTTGGTCTTTATTTAGGTGACCATTATTTATGTGGGAATGCCTCTTTTTCATTCAAAGATTGGAGAATTAATCCATGGGCGTGTG